CGCGCCCCATCCCCCCTCGATGGGGCCCGCCCACACCGGGGCCTCCCCCCTCCCGCCCACTGCTTTCTCAACGGCCCCGAGCCGGGGCTGCCCTCATTGCATACATAGTGCGCCTTTCCCTGCTTTTCTAGTGACCTAGCGTTCCGCACTGCCGTTTGGCCAGCCCATGCTCCCGTACCGTTGCGTTTCTCCCCAATGCGCCATGCCACTTTGCCAGTCATACACACGTTTCGATGCGTGCCCTGTCAGCTGCTTGCGTTGCATGTCGCCTTGCTCCACCCCTGTTTTATTGCTTTCTCTGCTTTCGCCCGGTTCCCGTCCCGTTTCGGCGGGGAGTCTATGTTGCAAGCTAGTTCTTGCTTTACCAGACTTTAAGCCCACACAAGCAAGCGCAGCAAGGTTGTGTGTGTTGGCGGTGTGGGGGGTGGTGGTGGGGGGTGAATGGAAGGGCGGGGTTGAATTACTGACAGTGGCGGGAGTTCATGATGATGTGCCAGCTGGTGGCCTGTGCCTATACCTGTATGCATATCTATCCATGTTGAAGCCTCTCGCGCGCAGCACCGCGTCGGCAGCATCCGCCCAGCCATTGAAGTCATCAAATGTGCAGGCAGCGAAGCTCCAGGGGATGGCATGCCTGCAGGCAGGGCAGCGCATGGCCCAGGCAGCAGGAGCCGCACATGAGCAAGGTCAGGATGTCCGATGGATGGATGGTTGCCGGCCTGCGTGCCAGCGTTCTTCGATGCAGCTGGGGCGCAGCAAGGCCAAGGTACAGCGCAGCTCACGTGGAGCCTTTGCAGGGCAGCTGCACCAGGTCGGAAACAAGGCTGTTCTTTCGGGTCAGCCTGGTCTTGCCTGCGGCGGGGCGGGGCAGGTGGGCTGGCCGATATCGGGCTGCTGGGGTAGCGACTGGCAGAGAGACTGACCTCTGCTTGCCATGCGCAGGCACGTCAACGCCTCATGCCAGCATGTGGTGGACAAGTCGGCATGCATAGGCACGTGTGGCACACCGTAGGAGCAGAGGTTGAAAGTGGAGGCTACGGTGGCCCTGCGGCTGTTGCCCTCCTGGAACACAACCCGCTCCACTGCAGGCTTGCTGATGTTGACCGGGGCGGCGGTGGGCACGCATGCGTTTCCAGCGGGCGTGATGCCGGCAACTGCAAGCCAGAGGGAGACAAGAGGGAATGGAAAGGGAAAAACTGTTTGATCGGTGGGGAAGCAAGACAGGTGTCCGGTTATGCGAGAGTCTGCCCAGTCTGTACCCTGCCCCAGCCCTTAACTCACTGGGGATGAAAATGGTGGAGAACTCTGAAAGAATGAGCAGGTTAGAGCTAAATGGCAGCTTGGCTGCAGATGCTCTTACGGCTCCTGCCACCGCCGCTGCTGCCGCGGACGCTAAGCCGCTCCTCCCGGTTGCTGCAGCGGTGCAGGGCGGAAAGCGGGCGCTCGGAACTGGGGCGGGCAGATGCAGGAGGCATAAACAGGCACTGTCCCACAGTGTGCCAGACAACGGCTGGTACACGCAGCAGCTTGCCAGCAGCTGCCCCCACAGCTGCGGCAACAGGCAGCGGCTGGCGCGGGACCGCACCTGGCCGATGGGCTGGCCTGGCGCCGTCGCGGCGAATACTGGCTGCTTTGAAGACGCCTCGCCCGGCGGGCTTGCCCAGCAGGCGGGCTTGCCCAGCGAGGGCTGTGGCGGCGCTGCTTGCTGCCACGTCGGCCGCAGGGACCCACCACCCACTGACTTGGATGATGTCTCCACTGCGGAGCCAGCTCAGCTGGTCGGCATTGTCTGTGGCCACATGCAGCGTTTGGCCACTGGCGGTGCGCAGCACCAGGAGCCTGCAGTGGCGGCGGCAGCTCAGCAGCCAGTGAGAGTGCCGGGGCCCGCCGCAGCTTCCAGCGCAGATACCCACACGGCGTGCTCCCACCTTTCTGCCTCGCGGTCGGCGAGGCGCTGATCCAACCAGATGGCTTTGCCTGCGGTGAAGAGGCGGGGTTGGACAGGCCTACCAAGCTGCGGGAGGCAAGCGACACCGCTGTCAGAGCGAAGCGCTGATGCCCTACCTGCCAACGTCGCTCTGCGCCCTGCTGCAGCAAGAAGCCTGCCAGATCCCCTTGCCGGGCTTGTTGCGGCAGCCAGGAGCTGCAGCAACAGCAGAGAGCTTGGCAGCAGCCCTCCGGAGACTCCGGCCATGGGCGCGTGGAGGCGTGAGCTAGCCCATCTGCGACCTGAAACCCTCCGAAGAGTGCTGGGAATAAATGAGAGGGGGTGGGAGGACCCTGGCTGTGAGCGATCACATGGTGAGTGAGCACCGGTCACCACTCAGCTGCCAGCCGTCATGGGGACATGCTCAGGTGAGAGCCGCGGGGGGAGGTTGTAAGTTTCGTAGAAGGGAGCTTAGACACGCGCAATGGGAAGCCGGATCGGGAGAATGTCGCCTTGGGCCCTCCCTGCTCTGGCCACAAGGCTTGGCAGGGGCCGGGCAGCTGCCGACGGCACGCCAGGGGTTTGTGTGTGTGTGGTGCCATGCCGTCATGGTGTGTGTGTGTTCTGGCATAATGACCGTGTCTCATGCATACCCTAAAGTCACTGGGTGGATTCATCGTCCCTCTCCCACTGCCAGGCTGCACCGCATGGCCTGGCGCCGGCGCCGGCCTGGCGCTGGTCGGGGAGCGGCACCTCATTAAATGGGAGGATGCCACGTGGGAATGCGCAGGGTGGTACAAAGTGTACAGAACATTGATGCATGTGCTAAACGGAATACACCAGGGAAAGGCTAGGAGGAAGGTCATGAACGAATGGACAGCACTACAGCATAGTACATACGCAGAGGTGCGATTCGCAAGGGGAGGGAGCAAGAGAGAGAGGACAAAAATCAATGTAAAACACAAATAGATACTTCATAGATAAGATAAGTCATACCAGCAGCCAATAGAGCCATGCTGTTGCATGAAAAACATATGGTCACAAGTGCAAAGGAAGTGTTGCTGCAAAGCGCGTACGCACGGTGCCAGCCAGGCGCCGCCGCAAAGCGTGTACGCATGAAGGGTGATTAGAACCAACAGTAGTGGCAGTGGCACCGCTGACAAAAGAAGTACGCACACAGGATGAGCTGGCGCAGAATGTACAAGTAGACTAGCAGGAGGGGAATGAGCCCCAGTAGCTGCGCCGTTCTCCCTGCCGGCTGGTCACCACCAGCGTGAACACGATGAAACAGTGCCACAGGCTCAGGAAGCCGTTGCAGGTGCTTGCACTTGCGTCCGCTTCCCAGCCGCCTGCTGCTGCCCCGTGCAGCCCACCGCTGCGTCGGCGGCACACGTCGAACATGCTTGCGGGGCACCGCCCCCACTGCCACCGGCGCTGGGGGAAGCAACCTGGAACGCGAGGGGTCATCCCGCCCTGCCAGCCCGTTGCAGTCGTTGTCGCTGCCAGCTAAGCAGCTGGCGACAGTTTCCGGGCCAGCACGGCGGCACACAGACACCACCGCTGCAGCTGCCGAGCCGGTATCGTTGGAGATGCTGCGGACTCGAACCACCAGGCCCGCAGCGCTGCTGCTCCAGGACTGGCCGCCTGCCGTGGAAAGCGCAGGGGAGAGGGGCTGCTTAAGAGAAAGCAGACATTGGGACGACAAATGCATGGTGAGATGGTGCAGGGCGTGCAAGCAATCGACGGCAGCTATCGCACGGCTAGCGCAGCGCACCTTCCAGAGCGGTCTCCCAGTTTGATGGCTGGGCATCTCGGGTGCTGGCGCTCCAGGAAGTGTACACGTGCACTTTGCCAGCCACCTCACTGGGTAGGTCGGCGTCGCCGCCTTCTGCTGTGCGGTACCTGCAGGGGTGTCCGGGCAGCCAGAGAGACTGGACGGGCGAGGGACTGGGAAGGCGCTGCACTCGGCGTGCAGGCAGGTGCAGGCAGGTGCCTCTGTACCAGCCAGCAGCCGCCAGGTCTCACCCCAGAAAGATGGGAGGCACACCGAGTACCCATGTGGCGCTGATGCGCATGCCGCTGCAGGCAGGGGGAGCCAGGGGCGACAGTTACTGTGCTGATAACCACCTCAGGAACACTGTTCTGCCGAGATCTCTCACAGGGCAATAGTGGAAGGCACGCTGGTTGCACCTGTGGCTAGTGGCGGCCTGGCTGGCCAGCGTCACTGTCACGGTCTGGCCGGCAGCCAGGGTGCTGCCGTCCAGCTGCTGCACCTGCAGCCAGCCCATCTGCAGCACGGGAGCAGTGGTGCTGCCACAACTTCAGCGACGGCGCTGCTGCCACTGTACACTTCTGCTGCAAGCTCACACCAGCTGAGCACAGCTGGCGTCAGCTGGCACCAGCTGCCCTCCTCACCTGCCAGGCGTGCGGCGTGTTCCAGCATCTGTCTGCGCAGCAATAACCCATAGTGCAGGAGTCATCGTTGTACCTACACAGCAGCCGCTGCAGAGTGTGAGATCGGCAGCTGGAGGGCGTTGAGCGCTGCCATTTGCCGCAGGCGGGCACTGCAAGTGACAGCTGCTGTGCAGGCAGCGAGCTCCCCCACGAGCTCACTCGCTTCCGTGACCGCCAGAGTGCTGCATGAACAGGTTGTGTCCCAGCTCATGTGTCAAAACCTGTGGGAACTAGGGGGGAGGGCCGAGCTGAGCAACCTGGCGGGTATCTGTGCCTACCCTCCCGGCAGGCGCGCTGCCGCCGGCCCCCCTCCCACCTGCGGCTTCAAGGCCTCCTCTCCTGATGCCCAGGCGCGGCACTCGTACGAGTCGTGGCAGCCGACATATCCCAGCCCGATCCAGTCGCACGCTCCCTTGGGCACCAGGTACAGGCGGTACACGAACCTCTTCAGCGCTTTGCCACGCGCCCGCAGCACCTCGTCGGCGGCGTCCGCCCAGCCGCTGAAGTCGTCGAATGCACAGCTGCCAAAGCTCCACGCCGCGCCGTACCTGCAGCCAAAAGCAAGGGGAAACAAGGGCAGGCATAACAAGCGGCAGGAGTGAGCCTTACACCGGCCCCGGATTCTGCTGCAAAGCAGCATCCGCACAGGCAGGGCACTCTCCAACTCACGAGGTGCTGTTGCAGGGCAGCTGCACCAGGTCGGCCACAAGGCTGTTCTGTCGGGTCAGCCTGGTCTTGCCTGTGGCGGGGCAGGGCAGGTGGGCAGGCAGGTATTGGGCTGCTGTGCTAGCGACTGACAGAGAGGCTGACCTCTGCTTGCCATGCGCAGGCATGCCAGCTGCTCATGCCAGCATGTTGCTGGTGGTGGACAAGTCGGCATGCATCGGCACGTGTGGCGCACCGTAGGAGCAGAGGTTGAATGTGGAGCCAACTGTGGCCCTGCGGCTGTTGCACTCCTGAAACACGACCCGCTCCACAGCACGCCTGTCCAGGTTGACGGGGGCAGCGGTGGGCACGCATGCGCCTCCGACGGGAGTCATGCCGGCGACTGCTCACGGAGGTGGAAGGGGCGAGGGACGATTTGAGGGGCGTCTGGTTGCAGCGAAGTAGCAGAGCAGCCCTGCCCATCCCATCCCAGACACTCACTCGGGATGATGATCACAGGCAGGTCGGCGGTGATGAGCGGGTTGGAGCTGAATTGCGGCGGGGGTGCCGAGGCTGCCGCCACCGTGGAGGCATCTGGTTGTGTTGATGCAGCAAGCAGGAGAGAGCGGTCAGGGACATGGGAAAGGAGAGGAGCGGTTGTGATGCCGTCCGATCCGTCAGATGGAGCAGAGCGGCATGCTTTGCTCATCATCCCAGCGGGCACACACGCACCTGCTGTAACGGCGTGCCAGTCGGCCTGGCCGGCACCAACACGCCGCACTCTGATCGCCTTGAAGAGCCGGGGACCACCGCCGTTTGTCTTCCCACGGCTCGTCTGCTTGCGGGTAGTGCCCCTGCTGCTCATGGTGGCGGCAGCGGCCATGGTTGCCTGTGGCACCCACTCCCCGCTCACTTGGATGTCAGCACCGCTGCGGAGCCCAGTTAGCTCGCTGGGGTTCACTACGACATGCACCCGGCCGTCGTTGGGGGTCCGTACCGCCAACAGGCTGCAGCAGCAGGCCAGGGGAGGGCCAGAATTGTCCCAGCGAAAGCGCTGCCGGTGCGTGCATGGGCGGCAGTGGCGGCAACCGGCGATACTGGGCTCACCTAGACTCGGGACGATCGACATAGTCCTGAGCGACTATAATGGCTTTCCCTGCGAGCCAGAGGGGTAATATATAGGAGCCAGTGTTCGCAGCGCTCCAGTACCCTGAGCCTCCTGCCCCCACCTCTCAGGGTTGCTCTACCCGGCGCGCTGAGGAGGTGGGTAGCTGTGGAAGCACGCTGAGAGGACAGGAAGGCCAGCAGAAGCAGCGCTTGGACAGTATTGAGGCTGAGCATGTGGTCAGTTCGTTGTTTTGGTCACCTCATGGCTGAGCGAACGCTTGGCACAACGAATTGAGGCTGCGCAAGGTCGAAAACAATGCATAAAGGCGCAGACAGCGAGAACATGCAGACCTGCCCTCGGGGCACGCAGCCCCCTCAGACCACCTCATCATTGTGACGTCCATGCCGGGCGACCGGAGGCAGTCAGACTCATCAATGCGCGCCTTGTAGCACTGTGCCGCGGTGAGGCGGCGCCGACCTTGCTGAAGCCCGCAGCGAGAGCGGGCATATGCCCTGCCGGCGCTGGCGCCGGCAATGGTAGCGAGACCGCTTTGGGCTGCCAGCTGATGCACCTCTTGCTTCTCCTACCTTGTAAGTTGAACGCCATAAGCACGTCGCTGGGATGGCAGAGAGGCGCATGCAGGGGGCAACAGTGGCTAAACATGATGATGGTCATTCGCCGCCTCTGCCGTTCCTGAGGCACCACACGCAGTCCAACTTGCTCTGGGCAATCGGCTTTCAGTTAAAGCGTGCATTGGGTGTTCCAGAAGCCCATGGCAGCAACAATCTCACATGCATTCATACTCATGACCCGGCTTGGCGGTGGCCGGCCGCCTCTGGCGAAGTGCTGACCTGGCATGGCAGCGCGAAGCTCGGGCTGTAGGCTGGCCAGCTACAGAACCAGCAGCACTTCCGAATTGAACCGGAAGTCCCGCTGCGGGGTAGTAGTCATGGCCTCTGCGCTCCTGACTCTGTCTCCACCCACCTGCGCACCCAGCCTGCGGGCTGTCCCAGCTCACACGTCGAGGAGACACGTGAGCGACCTGGCGCTGTCCGCTTTGTGCTAGCTAGCATTGCGCCAAACCCGCCCGCCCGTCGTCGCTGCTATCTCCGCCAAACATGTTCGGGCGACTTGAATCACACTGCACTTGTTTCTTGCAATGCAGAGATCAAGCGGCATCACAGCAGCAGCGTTAGGCAATGCCCCAACCAATCTGGGAGCGCTACAGTCGCTGGCAGAGCCCGAGGGAACGTTCAGCAGTGCGACTGCGGCGGTCATAGAGCAGCCCGTGACGTTTAGCGGAGGTGGCGTGATCAACATCGACGGCACAGCCATCGCCTCCTCACTCATTGTCCTGCTGCTGCTGCTGGCGCTGTCCACCAACAGAATCCTGGGCCTTGAGCGCATGCTTGGGTGAGCCCTGGCATTTTCGGCTGGATGCCTTCTGTGGCATTGGCACAATGGCCATGTTGCATTGATGCCGCTCCCAGTGCCTGCCCTGGCTGCTGGCGGCTGTAGGAAGTGGCTCAGTGGCCTGGCAGGGCAGCGGCAGTATGAAAAGCGCAATGAGGTGCTGGCGGCGCGGCAGGCGCTGGAGCAGCAGTTTGCGGCGGAGGATGACGACAGGAAGGAAGGCAAGGCCCCGCCCTAGTGCAGCTGGCTGGTCTCTGCCTATGCATAGGTATCACCAGTGACTGGCTCACCGGTGCTGCTCTACGTGTAATAAACAGAGGTACGGCAAGGGGAGGGGGTCGCTGGTGCATGAACTTCCGGCATCAGTTTGCATGCACGCTGTGTGTGCTCTATACTTACTCGCTTTCTTTTTTGTTGGACAGCCTGCCTCCCCATGAAACATCCCATCCTGCACACCGGCATGCACCAGGAGCCCGCCAGGCAGGCGTCTCGCTGGCGCCCTGCTTCACAGACCAGCTGCTACCGTTCTAGCGCATTCCCTCCTAACGATGTGCCGTCGCTTATAGCACCTTTCAGCCTCCACAGCCTGTTCTGGAAGCCGTCGAGCCTTGGTGAGCAGCGGCGATGAACGAGGCCAACAAAGAGCAGGCGGAAAAGTGCCTGGAGGTGGCAGAGGCAGCGCTGAAGGCGGGAGACACGGCGAAAGCAGAGCGATTCGCCGGCAAGGCACTGAAGCTCTTCCCACAAGACAAGGTGGGGCGCCGGGGGGCTGCCAAGGCACTGCGCTGATCCAGGGCATTTCCAGGGGAGCCGCAGGCGGCGCGGCTGCAGGCCTTGCGTGCGCCAGCCCGGTGGTCTCTGCCCCCAAAGCCCTGGGCCATCGCTGCCCAGGACACGGCCCCTGCTTTCTCTGGGGCAGCGAGGTTGCCATAGATCGTGCTTGGCCACCACCCCTACCACCTGTGTCCGTCCTGCCGCCGGCGCCGTTCCACCCCGCTCTCCGCCGCCGCTCGCGACGCCCGTGCAGGCGCGGCTGCTGCTTGCACGCATCAAGCGGGCTGCGGGCGCCACCCCCAGCAGCAGCACCGGCGGCGGCGCATCAGCAGCAACCAACGGCCACCACCATGGGGCATGCCCCACGGGCATGGGCACGGGGCCCAACCTGCGCCAACGCCAGCACGCTTCTACGGCGACATCAGGCGCACGGGCCAGCAGCAGCAGCCGGCATGAGCCGCCAGACGAGGACCACAAGGTGAGCGGGTTGGGTGTGTAGGCCGTGGGAAGGCTGGCTGGCATAGCAGCCAGCCTGCCAGCGGCTGGCCATCACACATGTGTATGTGCCGAGTGACAATCGCAACCGCCCTTCTTGCCCGACGCTCTGCAGGCCACGCCCGAGCAGCGGGAGCTGGTGCGGCGCATCCGGGGCACGACAGAGTATTATGAGGTGCTGCAGATAGAGCGTACCGCCTCGGACGACGACATCAAGAAAGCGTACCGCCGCCTAGCCCTCAAGCTGCACCCCGACAAGAACAAGGCGCGGGGCGCGGACGAGGCGTTCAAGGGTGTGTGCGCCTCCCGCTGATGCGGCGGCGGTGTGCCTGCAGCGCCGCTGCTGCTGCGGCTGCTGCTTCGAAAGGCTCTGCTGCTGCCGCACAGCTGCTGCCATGCACGCGCTGCGGCTGGCTGCCTGCTGCCTTGCTGCTAGGCCGCTCATCGCCTCGCCTCGCTTCCCTGCCCGCTCGCCCACCCCCGCAGCCGTCTCCAAGGCCTTCACCTGTCTCAGCGACCCCGCCAAGCGCCGCCACTACGACGCGCACGGGCGCGAGGAGGGAGCAGCGGTGGGCGGGGCCGGCGGCGGCGGCGGCGGCTTCCGCGGCGGCGGCGGCGGCATGGGGGACATTGACCCGGAGGAGCTGTTCAACATGTAGGTGGAGCTCGCGGGCTGGCCGCGGCTGGGCGGGCCGTTGGGGCCTGCTGCGTGCTGGCTGGGCTGGCTGCTGGGGACCTGCTGGAGGCCTGCTGGGGACTGGCTGGGGCCCGGGTGGGTTGTCGGCGCGCGAGGCCCACACACGGTGAACAGGGCGCAGACATGTGCGCCGCTTGCTGTGGCGACTGTTCTGACTGGTTCTGGCTGGCTGGCTGGCCTTTGTGGTGCAGGTTCTTTGGCGGCAACCCCTTCATGGGCGGCCGCGTGTACACCGCCAACTTCGGCGGGCAGGCGTACCGCCAGGCGCACGCGCGGCGGCATCAGCAGGCGGCGGGCCGCGGCCAGGCGCCCACCGAGGCAAACCCACTGATGCAGCTGATGCAGCTGCTGCCGCTGCTGCTGCTGCTCATGTTCACCTTCTTCTCGAGCCGCTCCCAGCCCGTGTACAGCCTGCAGCCGACCCGGGAGTACCGCCAGCAGTACGCCACCGCCACCTACGAGGTGCCCTTCTATGTCAAGGACGCCCAGCAGCTGCGCAGCAAGTACCCGCCTGGCAGCCGAGAGCGGTGAGCTCGGCTCGGGCGACTTGTGTCGCAGCTGGCGACCGGAGCTGGCATGGGCAGGTGGCACCTGCAGATGGCTCTGCTTGCTGAGCAGCGCACCGACAGGCTGGGCTCAGCTGGAGGGTCTGGCTCGTTGTTGTCTGCCTGCTGGTGTCTGCTGGGCACTCCCTTGCCCTGACCCACCCCTTTCACGTGCTTTCTGTACTTGCCCGCCTACCCCTGCCTGCCCTCTACCCCGGCTGCCTGCAGGGTGCGGCTGGAGCACCAGATAGAGTCTGAGTATCGCGGCTCGCTGCAGCAGCAGTGCTACAATGAGCGCATGCTGCAGGCAAGAGGCTGCCGCCTGCCTGCTTGGCTTACGGATTGTCTGCCTAACAGTGTCACGTGGACTTCAGACGCATGCCTCTGCTGTAGGAGCTGGTCGAAAAAACAAAACCAGCTCCTACACAACTGGGAGCAGTAGCACGCCGTGGCCGGTTGTGTCCCTGCTCAGGGCTGCGCTGACGTGTGCATCCGCTCGCGTTTCCTGTGCAGCAACGCTATCACTACTATGGGCGGCGGGAGGAGGCTCGGCACATGGAGCTCAAGTCGTGCGATGAGCTCAGCCGCCGCTTTGCCAGCCGCTCGGCCAGCGGCCTGCGGTGACGGGGCCAAGGCGGGGTGCCAGCCTCGGAGCTGCTGTTCGCCTGCCTGCCCGCCGGGTCGCCCCTTGTGCTTCCTGCTTCCGTCTGTGAATTTCATTTTGTTGCCTGCCCGGCGTGTGCACCGTTTGCTTGCTTGCTTCCATCTCTGTGCTCCCTTCTGCCCCCTCTTTGTTGAGCTGGACTCCCCTTTAGTTCAAGTGCAACATTCTGTACATTCCATTGCATCCAGAGCGAGCAGAGGTTGCTTGGCGGTCATGTGGGGCATTACATCAATACATGGCGGGGTAGAGTGGGGTCAAGTGCAACGAGGTCATCAAGGGGGGTTGGTCGGCGCCTTGGAAGCAACGCTAGGGCCGCGCCAAATAGTCAAGCTGAGGATGTGAGATGCAGCGGGCTAGTTAGAGGTGGAGACGATCAAAACGCTGCGCGCTGCCGGCGCAGCCTATAGGAGACATGGAGGCAGCCTTGCACCCAGGAGGCCCGCACCCCGTGTGCCTAGCGCCTGTTCAGCCATGGCCATGGCTGTGAAGGGCCCTTCCTCGCAGCCGCTGGCCCATCACGCAGCACTGCGGGCCAGCTGCTCCCACAGCGGCCCCGCCTTCTCCTTGATGGCGCCCTCAATCTGCTTCTGGTCGGGGTAGAAAGGCCAGGAATGGACCATGCACAGCGCCTGCACGGGCCGCAGGTGCAGAGGTTGTGGAAGAAGTAGGGGGAGGGCCAGCAAGGCTCAGCATGCTGCGGTGCGACAGGGGAGCATCAAGCCAGCGGCACAGCGCTGGCACCGTCTCCCTGCCCTGCCAGCGCACACACCTGTTGCTGCGCCGGCAGCAGCTTGCGCACGCAGCCCGTGAAGTCGAACTTGAGCCAGTACTCGAGCTGGACGAGGCGGTCGAGCTCATCCTTGGCCTGAAGAAAGCGGGGAAAGAAAGTGGGAAAAGAAGATGACCGGGTGAGGCCACGCCAGACGGCAAGGGAGGCAGGTCACCATCAAGCAGGGGAGAGTGAGTGGCAACGTTCCAGCCCGCAGCCAGCCGAACTCCCACACCTGCTGCGCTTTGGCGTTGGCGCTGGGCTGCCGCTGCACGCCGCCGCCGCCGCCGCCCTCCTCCTCGTCGCCGGCGCTGTCCTCTTCCGCCAGCACTTCGGTGCTGCCGTCCTGGCTAAGCTCCAGGCTCAGCAGGTCGCTCGAAAGCTGCAGGGGGCAGCAGCGGACAGGGGGTGGGTCTGACACTCGGCGACGACGCCCGGCAGAGTCAGGAGAGGCGGGACCAAGCGAGGGGCCCAGGTGCGCCCAGCCCACAAAAGAAAGCACAGCCACACTCACCTCATCTGCCAACTGCTGCATCACCTTGCTCTTGCGCTGCACAACCTGCTCCCTCTGCAGGGATTACACAGGAGTCGACAGGGAGAGCAGGTCAGCAGCTGCAGCCGGCGCCCAACCCCGACAGGCAGGCACGCAGGGCGCGAGACACGGCAGCTGCCACGCAGCGACAGGCACTGCGACCGCTGCGGGGGAGCCGGACCGTCAGGCCCCAAGCCCTGCCCACCGCCGCCGCTGCGCACCTGCTGCAGGTAGGACTGCAGCAGCAGGATGAGCTGCGACTCCTGCTCCTCGCTCAGGCCCATGGCTGCCAGCACAGCGCGCCAGTGGGCGGGGTCGCAGCGATCGACTGCGGGCGCGCAAGCGTGGAGGTGGGGTGCGAGGCGTAGGGCGAGGTGAGGCTTGTTAGTTTTTTTTTTGGGGGGGGGGGGGGTCGGACACAGGGCGGGGCGAGGTGGGAGGACTGAACGCTGCAAGGCAAGGGCGGGGCCCCTGCTGCATGCCAGGCGCGCATGCCACCGTCACCCGCGGCCGGAGCAGCGTCCACCCAGAGGGGGCCTCACCGGGGCTGTCGGGGTCCAGCTTTGCCTGCATCAGCTCCGCATACACCGGCGGGTTGACGACTTGCAGGTACCCAAAAGTGCTCTGCGGGAGAGCAGGTGCAGCATGCAGCACGTGGATTGCACGTCAAGAGAGAAGGTGGGAAGGTGGGCGCCGCCTCGCAGCACGGCACGCCACAGCGCAGCCCCAGGGCCGCAGCACGCCATGCACGCGCAGCACCGCAGGCAGCCAGCGCGGCACGGCAGGCACGCTGGCAGGGCAGCCAGCCAGCCGCCGCGCTCACCGCCCTCTCCCTCAGCGCAAAGATGTCCTCCAGCTGCTGCTGCGCAACCTCCGGGTCGGGCCCCTGGTCCAGCTGCTGCAGCAGGGCGCGCACCCGCGCCACCACGCTGTTGTAGTGCTGTACCGCATCGGAGCTGGTCATCTTGCGCAGGTACTCGAGCACCTGCGGCTCCGGCAGGCCCTTCTCCGCAGCATCCAACACATGCTGGCTGCAGTCCATCGACTGAAGCTGCTCGCCGAGCGTCATGCTCTGCGGGGGGTAGGGGCGGGAGGGCGGGGAGGCAGGTTGTGAGCAGGTGCAAAGGCAGGGCGTGAGCAGGTGCCCCAAGCTGCGGGCTGAGGGCCGCCCAGCCCCCTGCCGGTGCGGCGTCCCCCCCCCACAAGCAGCCCACAGCAGGCTGGAGCGTGCACGGGTGCGCAGGCTCGTGGCGAGCAGCCAGGTGCAGGCCAGCCGGCCGTCGCGCAGCTGCCGCGCCAGCTGCCGCCCCCACCTCTTGCAGCTCCTGCACCATGCCCGCGGCGCAGCGCCGGAAGCTGGAGTGCTTGGACAGCACCACCGCCTTGCGCTGCAGCGTGGTGTTGTCGCGCTGCAGCCGCTCCAGCTCGCTGCGCGCCTTGCCCAGCTGCTGCTCCAGGCGGCGGATGTAGTCCTGGAGGGGAGAGGGCAGGCAGCAGCATGCACACGGCAAGCCCAGCGGTGAGGCGGCGGGCTGGGCGGCGACGGGGATTGCTGCGAGGCAGCACACCACACCGCATATCCGTGGATTGCAGCGGCAGCGGCCCCTGCTCGCATGCCTGCAGAGTTGCAGGCTGCGGCATGCCCGGCTGTTAGCTGGCCAGCGTCATGCCCGGCCCAGCGGCTCACATTGGCCTCGTCTTTGAGCTTGCGCTCCTGCGCCACCTGGTGCGGCGGCTTGTAGGGGCGCTTGGGCCGCGGCTTGGCGGCGCGCGCCGCCGACCCGCGCTGCTGCGACGGCTGCGACATCTGCTGCCCCGCGGACGGCTGCGGCGAGGGCTGCGAGGCCTGCTGCTGCATGGCCATGGGAGCAAACTGGGGCGCGATGATGGGCAGCCCGCCGGCGGTGCCCACCTCCACGTACGTCAGCTGCTACCCGCCCAGCGAGGGCAGCTGGCCCGAGGCCAGCGCCTGCTGCTCCTGCAGGCTCAGCGTGTAGCTGCCGGGCAGGCCGCTGCCGCCGCTGCTGCCGCCGCTGAGGTAGGCGGACTGGAGGTAGGCGGGGTCGGCGGTGCCGGGCGCCAGCGGCTGCCCGCCTGCAGTCACGAGCTGCGGCATGCCTCCCTGCTGTGGCGTGATGTAGAAGGGGCTGCCCCCGAGGCCCGGGAAGCCTGCAACAGCAAAACCCACGACAGCAAGGGTCATGGCAGCAGGCCGCGCGCCAGGGGCGCCGTGCACTCGCTGCACTGAGCATGCATGCATTTGGCACCATGCTGAGGCAGTAGCAGGGCCTGGGGGAGCTGGGGCTTAACTTGCTGGGCGGCGGCATCCTCCTGAGCGGAGTCGTTGCGACCAGACATGCCCCCGGCAAGCATGGGCGTTGCGCCTGCAGCGGCGCTAGGGCGCTGAGGCCTGGCTTGCCTTCCCGCTCTCTTGGTGGCCCAAGGGTGCGGCGCTCTGCGCGGAAGTGCTCAACCAGCAGAGGCAATGCGGATTGAGTTGGGACTCGTGCAGGAGGGGTCTCGAAGATAAAATTCCAGTCACTGCCAGCTAGGATTGGGAGGGGCACGGAAGCGGCAGGAGGTTGGGGAGCTCGCGAATTCGCGCATTGGGGTGTGTCGATTGACGGGGGCATACGAAAGGAAGATAGGACGTGGACCAGCTGCCAAGGTGTCTGGGAGCCGATGGCAGCGCTGGTTGTCAGTGTGCCGCCGCCCACAGCAGACGGCATAAGCAGTCTAACCCCATCCTTGGCCCTGATCGGTCCATTTCGCATGTATGAAGTTTGCAGACCAGGGATTGATTAGGGAGCATTGTATGCTCAGTGAGAGCATCGAGCACGAGCAGGGGAATGCAGCGGGAAACAGTGTGCCGAGAACGGGACCCGAGCCAAAGGAGATGGGAGAGCGGAAGAGCAGGAAGAAGCAGAAGGAAAAGCAGGTAGGCAAGAACCTGCTTAACCTTCAGACAGTCACTGCAGCGGAGCGGAGCGCCAGCTCCCTGGCGCCCCGGCCGCCACTATGGGGATTTGAGACGAAAACTAGAGGGCTGCAGTGACTGCTCCCTCACTTGGACGTCTCCTGGGCAGCGGCGCCCTCCAGCCTGTCCTTGACCAGCAGCGTGAAGAGGGCCAGGAAGGAGAGCAGCACCGCGGCAGCAAAGGCCGCCTCCTCATTATATTCCTGTACCAGGGGAGGGGTGGGGCCATGGAGAAGAGCACGGCGTTAAGGGGGATGGGGGCAGTGGGCACGAGCACCGGCAGACAGGCCAGTGCACCTACATTGCAGGCCTGCCCGCCTGGACTGCGTGGCCGACTCCATCCAATCGAGCCCCAGCCAAGCATCGTTTACCCCCAAGGCCCCGCCGCACCTTGTAGGCCGATTCCACGTAGAGTGTGAGCGTCTGCGTCTGGCCGATGATGTTGCCGCTGATGACAGACACCGCGCCAAACTCTCCCATCGCGCGCTGCAGCAGCAAACAGGAGGCGTCCCACGCTCTGTTCACAGGCTCTGACTCAACAACCCGACAGCTGTTTAAGCTTGACCCAGTCGCCCCAGCCGGCGAGGCAGACAGTCGGGCGAAGCCGGTCAGTCACGAGCACATCCAGGGCAGGCCAGAGGGCAGCCGCTGTGCTGCGGGCGAGGCTGGCGAGGCACGAGGCGGCGGTGGGCGCCGCACGCACCGCGTTGGTGAGGATGATGCCGTAGAGCAGGCCCCACCGGATGTTGGGCATCGTCACGTTCCAAAACACCTGGAAGTCGTTGGCCCCCAAGGACCTGCACAGGAGGAATGACTTGAATTCAACGGGCGTGAGCCGGCATGCCTCGTCACCCTCTGCTGGCCTGCCCAGGTCGGGTGACACACACTGCACCGTGCCCTTGCGGGTGGCCGCTGGCTGGCCACCTGGCCCTGGCCAGTGTGCGTCCCCGCCGCGTGGCGGCCGACAGCTTGACGCACTGCTGGCGCAGCCGCAGGCACTCACTGGGCCGCCTCCTCCTCCGCCATGTCCATCTGCTCTAGGATGGGCAGCAGCTCGCGAACCACAAAGGGCATGGTCACAAACAGCGTGGCCAGCGCCATGCCTGCAGCGGCACGGGCGGGACGAGGCGGGAGCAGCCGGATCGAGTCGGCCAGCATCACCAGCGTGAACCTGGTCCAATGCCAGGCATGTGATGCCGCCTCCAGCCAGCTGCCTGCTGCTGCCTGCTGCCGGGCAGGTGGGATGCTCCCCGGCGCATGCATGCATGCCGGGGCAGCGGGTGGCTTGGCGGCGTGCCTGGGAAGGCAAAGACGATGGGGAAGCCCCACTTGGCGATCAGCGGCGCAAACAGGCCCTTGCGGCCGTACAGCAGCACGAACATCATGCCTGCAGGCGCCAGGAAGCAGCACGTGCAGGGTTTGGGCGCCGGGCTCAGGGCCCAGGCGCAGGCAGCTGGCAGGGAGCAGGCACGTCATCCTTGTGCCGCAGGCCTCTACCACTCTCTGATGGGTCTCCCTGTGCTGGCGTGGACCTTCTCCTCCTCGCCCCCATCCCCCACACACACACACCCATACATACGCATCAAGCCAGGCTCCCTCGCCCCCCTCCCCACCTGTGATGACCGGCGATATGGAGAAGGGCAGGTCGAGCAGCGAGATGAGGAAGGTGCGCCCCCGGAAGTCGTTGCGGGCCAGGAACAGCGCGGCCTGCACCCCAAACACGGTGTTGACGGGCACCGCCACCGCCGACAGCAGCAGCGTCATCTTGACCGCCTGCTGGAAGTCGGGCTCCTGGACCGTCTCCACAAAGGGCGACAGGCCGTGGGAGAAGGCCTGGATGAAGACGTTGGCAAAGGGGATGACCACGATGAGCATCATGTAGGTCACCGCCACGCCCACCAGCAGCCGCGCGCCCCACGAGTCGACCTGCCCGGCGGCGGGAAGGCGCGGCGGGAGGCGCAGGGAAGCGCTCGGCGACGGGCAGCGGGCTGGAGCGGAGCCGGCGATTGGCAGCACCAGGGGTGGTGCTGCACAGCTGCGGCGGCTCTGCAAGCGTGAACTGTGACATTTGCAGTGCTCTAAATCTGTGTACAGCTACAAGTGGCAGGGCAGGCAGCACGCCACCCTTCTCACAGGCTGGTTGCCGCCGCCGCCATGCCCCAGGCCTCCCCCCCCGCCGCTGGCTACTGTCTGCAGCTGCCCTCTCTCGGTAGTTCTATGCCGCAGGGCCCGTTGCAAGCCTCCCCCTAGCGGCAGCTGCAGCGGGTCGACCAGGTTTCTGCTGGCACATCGCCTGCGGCTGCTGCTGGGAGCGGCGGCCAGGGGCAGCTGCACTCCGATAGGGGGGGCTATACGATGCGCCGATGTGCAGCACTGCGAGCCGCTGGCTAGCCGCAGCGTGAGCTGAGGGCTAAGAGCCGCCCGCAGCAGCGACATTGGGCGGCCCGGGTACAGCAGACAATGGGGCAAGCCGCCAGAAGAGCGATGGCGCCGTAAAGCGCCCACACAGAACCTGACAGGTCGGCATGTACTTCAGGGCGCAAACCCTGCTATTTGCGATCCAGACTCACGTACCAATCCATTCACATTTGCCACCGCGCATGCGCCTCGCATGCTTGCGCTCGAGTCAAGGACTCTGCAGCCCAGCAGCCTGCGAGGGCCATGGAGGCGGCACCTGAGCCCCAGCGGTTCAGCGGTGGGGTCACCAACAGCCAGCCCAGCGCCAGCGGGAGCAGCGGCGCTCTGGTGCCGGCGGCGGCCGGCGCGGCGCGGCCGGCGGTCGTGCGCCGCGTGATTGGCCAGCAGGTGACCTGCCAGCCGCGTGCTGGTGCAGCGGCTGGAGCGTCAGGGCCGCCTTGGCTGCCGTCGCCGCCTGCTGCTTGTCCCCACACCCCACGCAACCCCCACGCCCTGCCGCCAGGTGCCCGCCGACATTCTCCACAACGCGGCGCTGAACGCGGCCATCGCGCTGCTGCCCGCCAACTACAGCTTCGAGGTGCACAAGACGCTGTGGCGCATCCGCCAGGCGGGCGCGCGCCGCGTGGCGCTGCAGTTCCCGGAGGGACTCCTGCTCTACGCCTGCGTCATCGCCGACATCCTCGAGGGGTGGGCGGGGTGGCGGTGTGTGTGTGGGAGTGTGTGGGTGAGGGTGGCTATGCTCTATGGGGTGGCGTGTGTGCTGGGGGTTGGCATGTGTGTGCTGGCGGTGACTGGCAGTGGTGTGGGGGAAGGGCCCAAGGGCTGCCCAAGGCGGCCAGGAGCGAGAGCAAGCGCGCTGGGCAAGCCAGAGCGAGGCGGCCGCAGCTGGGGCGTCCTCGTGGCAGGGCCCGGCGCCGGGCCCAGTCCGCGCTGCCTCCTTGCCCCACGCTGGCCTGCCCTGCCCACCGCGCCCGCCGCCCGCGCTGCCTCTGCTGCCCCCGCCCTGCACCTCGGCACGCAGGTTTGGCGGGGTGGACCAGACGTTCATCCTGGGCGACGTCACCTTTGGCGCCTGCTGCGTGGATGACTACTCTGCCGCCGCCTTGGGCGCCGACTTCCTGGTGCACTACGGCCACTCCTGCCTGGTGCCTGTGGACGTCACCAGCCTGCCCTGCATGTACGTGTTTGTCGACATAAAGATGGACACCCAGCACCTCGTGGACAGCGTGCGGTGAGGGAGGCGGCGGCGCTGCCGCGGCTGCTGTTCTACGCGGGGACGAGCTTGCGGGGCGTGCCTGGGCTGGCTGCTGGCAGTGGCGTGTGTGTGTGCAGGCTGGCTGGTCGTAGAGGGCGCCTGGTGCAGGCAATGCGTGGGTGCGGTGCGGGCTGACGGCGTCGCCTCGCCTGCCTGCAGGCACAACTTTGCGGCGGGCACCAAGCTGGTGCTGGCCGGCACCATCCAGTTTGCCTCGTGCATCCAGGCAGCCAGGCAGCAGCTGGCGGGCGACTACCCACACATCATGGTACCGCAGGTACTGTGCTGCCCAGCTGTCCCGCCCTCATCAAATCTCAACGCACGCCTGCCGTCATCAAATCTCAACGCACGCCTGCCGTTGGCACTTGCCTGCGGGCAGGCGGCTGCGTCTGGCTGCCTCCCCGGCTGCTCTTTGCCCGGCCCTACCACCTGCCCTGGCTCGCCCCTCGCTGCGCGCCGCTCGCAGGCTCGGCCGCTGTCGCCGGGCGAGGTGCTGGGCTGCACGGCGCCCAAGATCGCGGGGCAGTGCGATGCGATCGTGTTTGTGGCGGATGGGCGGTTCCACCTAGAGGCCCTGATGATCGCCAACCCCACGGTGCCGGCATACAGGTCTGGGCGCCCGCCTGGCGCCTCCACGGCTCCCTTTGGGCCCTGCTGCACCAGGCAGCCGGCGCATGCAGGACGCATGCCAGCCCAAGGGGCGAAGCACCCCTTGACGGCGGCGCCTTGCAGCATGCGCCCCAGCGCTGCCAGCCACCCGCTCACCTTCCCACGGCCACACCACACCACCAGCGTCACACTGATGACCACGCCAGGCACGCACACACACTCTCTCTCTCTCCGGTCCTGCTGCAGGTACGATCCGTACCCCCGCCAGCTCACCCGGGAGCGGTACGACCATGCCGGCATGCAGGCGGCGCGGCAGGCGGCCATCCAGGCGGCGGCGGGGGCAGCCAGCTGGGGCCTCGTGCTGGGCACGCTGGGGCGCCAGGGCAACCCGCGCATCCTGGCGCAGCTGCAGGAGCTGCTGCGGCGGCAGGGGCGGCAGTTCGTTACTGTGCTGCTCTCGGGTGCGGAAGAGGGGTGGGCCCTGCACGAGCAACATTTGGTATGCGCCTGGGCTAGAGCCCTGCGCTGCGTCTGCCCCCCGCAGGCAGCCGTGCCACCCACTCGCGGCCCCTGGGGTACCGCCGCTCATGCCCTGGCGCCGCCGCCTCGCTGGCTGCCTGCAGAGGTGTCCCCGCCCAAGCTGGCTGCGTTGTCAGAGGGCATCGACGCCTGGGTGCAGATCGCCTGCCCGCGGCTCAGCATCGACTGGGGCGAGGGCTTCACACAGCCCACACTGAACCCTTATGAGGCGCGTGTGCGACTGTTGGGTGTGCTGGGGCGTGTGGCCAGGGCACGGCCTCAAGGGCTGCCACCCGGCTGCCGCGTGCACGTGCGTGCCTGGTGCGCAGCAACAGCGGGATTCCCGGCATGTGGGTTGTCAGGGAGGATGGGCTTGGTGGCTGGCTCGCATTGGCCCCCCGCCTCCCCGCGCTCCTCCCCCGCCGCCATGTGGCCCAACCACCCTCTGCCCCCCGCCCGCCGCAACCCGCCTGCAGGCGTTTGTGGCGCTGGGGGAGGTGCCAGGGTGGTGGGTGGCGGGAGAGGAGTACCCAATGGACTATTATGCGGCGGATGGAGGCGCCTGGAACAGCACCTATCACCGGCGCAAGCCGCGGGCGCCTGGGGGGCCCTTGGCGACGGCCCGCGCGGCGGTCGCAGCAGCGTGGTCAGCGCCGGGCACGGCGGGTGGGGGCCTGGCGCCGGCTGCCGCACCTTGACCCTGCGTCTGCCATGTAACCCCAGGCATTACGGGGATGGATCGGTGATTGGGGGAGGAAATGGGCGCAGAGTGGCGACCAGAAACCCTGGCAGCAGTAATGGCAGCAGTACGGGGCTGATGATCGGGAAATTTGGCCGCCGTTCGCTCCTGCCTGCAGCACTTCGGATCTGGGCCTTGCGTCCAGTCCTTGATCACCCGAAATAGTGCTGTCTCTTCCTCTGGCTGTGGGTCGACACAGACACCGGAGGGCACAGGCGCCTCCAGGCCCCCATTGATCCCTCTGATCGCTGCATCTGCCGGTGCAGTCGTTGGCCTCCATTGTAGAGGCCCCGCGGCGTAGAGACGAAGCATTTTGCTCGCCATGGCAGCAGCATTGGGGCACCTTGCTGGCAGCGGCGCCCTGCACGTGCAGCAGCTGCCAGCCAGCAGTCTGCAGCGCTGCCGACCAACCACCCCCGGAAGCAACCTCCAGCCGGGTGAGCCACCCGCCGTGTGCGGCCAACTCCCTTTCTGCTTGCCATTGCTGCTGGCGTGCCTGTCGGCGGGCGCTTAGTCAGTCCCGCTGAGCGTGTGCAGGGCTGCGGGCGGGGACTGCGAGCAGCGGTGGCGGCGTCAGCGTCGGCGGCACCCGGCACGTTAGGCGCAGCGTCGCGGCACGTCCCCTGTCGGGCTCCGACCTGGCCAACTCGCCGCTGCCGGTGATGGCGGCTTCACCAGTGGCAGCCAACCGCTCTGCAGCCCCTTTGCACGCCGCCAGCAGCAGCGGCAGCGGAGACAGCTACGGCGGCGGCTTCAGCCCTAGCAGCAGCAACCCCCCTTCTAGCAGCAGCGACAGCAGCAGCAGCCCCAATGGGGCTGCCTCGCCACCCCTGGACCCGCGGTCCTCCGCCAACACCAGCGAGCTGCTGCGTGCGGTGCTGAAGCGGCGTGCGGAGCGCTTGCAGCGGCAGCAGGACCCCACGACGTCAGCCTACCTGCCGGCGGCGCCGCCAGAGCAGCAGCAGCAGCAGCAGGCGGAGCCGTCTGCCCAGCAGCAGCAGCAGTCGCAGCAGCAGCCACCGCTGCAGCAGGCGCCGCCGCGCTACAAGCCACACTGGAACAGCTCCGGCCCCGACGGCTCTGCTCCCGTAAACGGCGCCGCCACACACCTCAACCGGGCGGCGGCGGCGGCGGCGGCTCACCTGAACGGCGCCGCCGCGGGCCCCTACGGCGGCAGCGCAGCGGCTCCCCTGAATGGGGCCTACAACGGCGCTTACAACGGCGCGGCGGCTGCACCCGCGGCGCCGCCGCCGCCGGCGCCTCCGTCGCCCGCGTCGCTGCCGCCGGTGCCGGCGCCGGAGCAGCGCGTGGTGCGTGCGGCGGCGGCGGCCGCGGTGCGTGAGGACGCCATCTCGCAGCGCAAGCTGGCCACCGTTCGCTTCTGGCTGAAATTCAAGGCGGAGTGGGGCCAGCGCCTCAAGGTGGTGGGCAGCCACCAAGAGCTAGGTGGGCAGGGCTGGGGGGCGCGGGCCTGGCGCTGGCTGCAGCAGGCTGAGCTGCGTGTGGGCGACCTTGCCGGGAGGCCTTGTGCGTTGCCCCACCGTGTGGGAACGCGGCCCGCGAGCAGGGCTGCCGCCTGTGTATTCCCGCCATGCCGCTGTTGTACTGTGTTTGGCGGCGCCCTGAATCCGTGCTGCTGCCGCGTCGGCTCGCCGTCTGCAGGCGGCTGGCTGCTGGCTGCCGCCCCGGAGCTCAAATGGTCCCAGGGAGACAACTGGCACACCACGGTGCAGCTGCCGGCAGGTGCGGCGGAAGTGAAGCTTTGGCTCGCCCCCAGCCAGCCTGTCTGCCGCAGCGGTGCCCTCATGAAAGCAGCAGGGCTTCATTCGCCGATGGCTTGCTGCCATCAGGCGCCGCTGCCCAGCGGCCCCTCTGCCGCTGCCCCTGTTTTGAGCACGCCACCATTTGTCCTGTACCGCCGTACTGCTGTACCGCAGGTGGCGTTGTGGAGTACAAATACGTGCTGCTGGACCACTCTGGCAACCACCCGGTGGCCTGGCAGCAGGGCAACAACAGCGTGTTGGCGCTGCGCCCCGGGGACGAGCTGGTGGAGGTGTTTGACAACTGGTGAGGCGATTTGGTTATAGATAGAAACTATAAAGAAACCTTCCCCGGCTGATGGGCTGCAGCACATTGGGCCTCTGCTGCTGCCGTGGAAGCAGCACGCGCCCGGTGCCAGCCCGGCTGGGGCTGGCCAGCCCGGCGCAGCTGCCGCAGGCACCTGTGTTTCCAGGCCGCAGCTGACGCGCGCCCTTCGTGTGTGCCTGGCGTCTTGCTGCCAGGGGCGCCAACCCGGGCGCCAAGCTGGTGGCGGACGGCGGCTCGCCCGTGACCCGCGAGCACCGCCTGCTGAGCTGGGCCAGCGAGATGGAGGCGCAGCTGGTCAGCCAGAAGCAGGACTTGCGACGGTCCCGCATGGAGCTGGCGGCCGCGCAGGAGGTGCGCCGGGGCGCGCCGGCGGCGGGCTTGTTGCAGGAGCCAGCGAGGCGGGGGCCTGGAGGGGGCGTGCGCCGGGCTGGGGAGGCCAGCGCAACTTCCCGGGGCAGCACAGCCCTCCCTCCTCCTCTCCCTCCCACCTCCTCACCCTCCCTGCCCTTGCCCCCTGCCCCTCCCTCATCCTGTGGCCCCTGCAGGAGGCGCGCGAGGCGCGCATCGAGGCGCAGCGCTACAAGGCGCAGCTGCTGGCGCTGGAAGCTGACAAGGCGGAGGCGGCCAACCACCTGCAGCAGGCCCGCGCCCTCAACTCCGCGCTGCAGTCGCAGGCGAGCGCCGCCCCCGCGCCCCCGCCCTCCTCACGTCGCCCGCCTGCCCGCTCGCGCGCCGCCCACGTGCCTGCACCGCACGACTGCACCGCGCTTGGCCGACCCCATGTCATTACCTGCGCCCCTTTTCCTCTTGCCGCCGCCGCCGCCGTTTGACCTCCGCGCCCTCCCCGCTGCCCCCCTGGTGCTGCCCTGCAGCTGGCAGACACCACGGCCTCCTTCCAGGAGGCCCTTCGCACCGCCGCCGACATCCTCAGCCAGATTGACGAAGTGAGCACCAGCGACGCGCTGGGTGCGGCGGGTGCCGCCGCACCGGCTGCGCTGGCTGGCGCGGCTTCCCAGGTGGCGCCTGCTGCGAGGCAGGCGCCGACATCGACGGAGCTCGCGGCCACGGGCGGGGAGGTGGATGGCGCGCTGGAGGAGGCACGCAAGGCTGCCGCGGCGCTGGAGGCGGCGGCTGCCGCGTCAGCCGGCGCCGCGGTGGAGGAGGCCTCGGCCGCTTCCGATGAGGAGCTGAGCGAGGAGGAGAGCTCTGGGGGGGAGGAGGAGGCTGCCGCCAGCGGTCCCAGCCTCGAGGGAGAGGCGGCAGCGCTCGGCTTCGCGCCGCATCCGGCTGCGGCCACGGGGCCCGCGGGCGCGGGCAGGGCGCCGGTGCCTTTTGTTGCCAGCACCAAGCGCCGGCGCCGGCCCAAGGGCACAAAGACCAAAGGCATGCGCAAGTGAGTGCGCAGGCCTGCCTCTGGGCCCCTGCCCCGCCCCCTTTTTGCAATCCGCAGTCAACACACCCCTCAGCACAACCATTTCATCGCATTCGCCCAGCCATTTCAAGAGCCATTTCCATTCTACGTGCGTTGGGCAGACCGCTTTACCGGTCTGCTGCCCCCATTGGAGTGCCGATCTTGTGCCCGCACTCTCCCCGTTCGGTGCCGTGCTGTGCTGTTTCAGGCGTGCTCCATTCTGCATTCCCCGTCCACGTGTGGTGTCACATCTGATCCCATTCGGTTGGCTGGCTTCCCCCCTACAGCTGGGTTGTAGGGCCTTGCCAGCACCCCTGCCCTTTTCCGTGCCTATCGGCCCCTCCCCATTTTCCTGTTTTGTCGTCGCTGCCTGACAACGCCCGCCTCAAGCCAGCAATCTCCTGAGGCGTGCAAAGCACGTCCCCGCGAAACGCGGCGCCGCTTGTGAACTGTTTCTGTGTAGCCCCTGTTTGTGTCGTTCGCTGCAAATTCCCTCCCTACCCCTCATAGCTGCCTTGAACCAAACCCTCAAAGAATACTTACAATATTGTCGAAGGCGCACCGCTTCTGTAACTTTACAAGTGTAGCAGAGTGTAGCAGGCAGGAACAACAGGGACTGAATCAGGTGGGTGTGCAATGGGGTACAAAGTATAGCAGCGGCTACAACCAGGCAGGAGTACAGAGGGAGTTGAGTGTTGAGTTTGTGGGCCGGCCGGGCCGGCAGCAGCTCACGGCAGGCGTGCTGCCGGCAGGCGCGGCTCAGGGCAGGAGGAGGAACACCGAGGCGATGAGGCACGCTCCAGTGAGCGCGCCCGACGGCCCATACAGCCCAAAGCCATACGCGAGGGCCATCATGTTGATTGCGATGCACGTGATGATTTTGACCTTGACATTTTTGGGCATGGGCTCGGTGGCGGCTGAGCTGGGCTTCAGGGCGCGGATGGGTGGGGAGCAGCCCTGCAGGGCAGGTGCAATCCGGCGGGCAATGAGAGGGGTGGCAGTCGCATGCTGATGGCACGGTGGTCATTCCCCGGCAGGGATAAAACAAGGAGCGCTCTCCCTATGTGAGTCGATGCTCGCAGGCGGGGGCCTCTGACCCCATGCCTCTTGGGGCCACCTGAACAGCCCAGGCTAAAGGCTGCCAAATGGGGCACAACAGCCATTTGCGCCCGCCTCACCACGAGCAGCGCGATGACGGCTGTGATGCTGAAGTTCATGGTGAAGCCCAGCGCTGGCCGCCGCCAGTCCTTCTCGTAGGCTCTGCGCAAGCAGTTATGGCGGCGGCAGGGGCCACGGGGAGTGAGCCGGGCACGCGGCGGGCAGGGCCTTGCATGCTGCGCTGGCTTGTCGCCTGCGGCTTGCATGCTGGGGAGCCAGCTGGGGGTGCGCTCAGGATCGGGTCGACTCACAGGTAGATTGGCCACTCGGACACGGCAGAGGCGATGGCGATCGCCAGGGTGAGCGCGCCCAGCGCCCGCCGCTGCCTCAGGCTAGCGGCGCCGCCAGTGGCGGCGGCGGCAAGCTCGGTACTGGGCTTGTCCGCCTTGGGCTGCTTCTTGTCCGCCTTGGCCTGCTTTGGGGAGACGGAGGCCTCCTTCTGTTGCTTGGTGGTGGAGCTGGCTGCTGCAGGGGCGGCCTTGCGCTTGAGGAGGCCCATGGCGAGCGGTGGACGAGGTCGGCTGGATCTTCAATCGAGGTAGGAGGTGCAAGAAGCAGTGATTCAACGCATGAGCGAGCATAGCTCCTCCTGACTAGATGCTGGCTGGCTTCATGCCATGAGGGCCCGCGGGAAAATGCTGCAGTAGGGCTCTTGATAGGCCCTGTCCTCTTCACAACAGAGATTAATTGCGTCCCGCATAGCCTCCCCCTCTTTGCCTCCTCTGCTCGCAAGTGCATCACACAAACATGGCCCTGGTGCCCGGCAGGCCCTACAACTGGCCCTTCGATGGGGATTTGACGCCCTCCAACACTTGCGTGATCGTGATCGACATGCAGGCACGCCCGCCGCGCCGCCCGCCGCGCCGCCGGGGCCGGCGCTGGCGCTGGCGCCGCGGCGGTCCATGCAACGGCGTCAGGCTGGTGTCGGCCCCTGCCCCTCTCCGCCTCACACTGCATTACACGGTTTGCCCTGCAGGTGGACTTCTGCAGCAAAGGAGGCTACGTGGACCTGATGGGCCTGGACATCTTCCTCACTCAGGGCCCCATCGAGCCCATCCAGTGCGCCGCCGCCGTTGCCTGACCTCCGCCCCTCTCCCGCATTTCTACTCGCGCCAGCGCCCCTGGCATGCTGGAAATCTTGCGGCTGGGCTGGGGGCGGGTCGTCATTTCCGCTCCCTGCCCCAACTGGCTGCAGGAAGCTGCTGGAGGCGTGCCGCCAGCAGGGGTACCATGTGATCCACACCCGTGAGGGCCACCGCCCAGACCTCAGGTGTGCTACGGCTCCAAGCCGCCAGCCTGACGCTCAGCACCGCACAGGCCTGCCGCCGCTGCTGCTGCTGCTTGGCCGCCAAGCCCCTCCGCCGTCCCGCCCCTCCAACCTCACAACACCACCTCCTGCACCCGCCCCTCCCTGCCCACGCAACAACCACCCGCAGCGACCTGCCAGCCAACAAGAAGTGGCGGTCGGAGCAGATCGGCGCGGGCATCGGGGCGGCGGGGCCCTGCGGCCGCGTGCTGGTGCGGGGCGAGCCCGGCTGGGAGATCATCCCTGAGCTGGCGCCGCTGCCCGGGGAGCCCATCATCGACAAGCCCGGCAAGGGCTCCTTCTACGCCACGGGTGAGCTGGTGGTGGGCGTGCATGTACGATGATGGTGGGTGGGTGGATGGAGCTGTGAACAGCATTGTGCAGCTCATGCAGCTGTGAGGGTGCCTGGTGTGCGCCATGGTGAGTGTAGCATGGGCCGCACGACATGCACGGCATGCACGTGCACATGGACCTTTGGTGCAGACCTGGACCTTGTCCTGCACACCAGGGGCATCCGCAACATCGTGCTGACGGGCGTCACCACCGATGGTGCGCCTCCTGCTGCCACCGATGTTTCTGCCACCAACGACAGCACCGCTGCGCATTGTGCCTCCTGCCGGGTGCTCCGTGATGCGAGCCGGCCATTTGGACCCACCTGTTGCCCCGACTGAACTGCCACCTGCTCTGCACGTGCCTGCCCTGCCGCAGTGTGTGTGCACACCACCATGCGCGACGCCAACGACCGTGGCTACGAGTGCCTGCTGCTGTCCGACTGCACCGCGGTGAGGCCCCCTTCCCACCGGCCCTTCACCTCCGCCCCTCCCGCCTGCTGATGTGCTGGAGGGCAAGCCAGCCAGGCAGGCAGGCAGCAAGCTCGCCTGGTTGCCCAGCAGGCTGTCCGCCTGACATCCACTCTGCTGTGTGGCTGGCTCCCCACCTTTGCTGTGCAGGCCACTGACCCTGCCAACCACCAGGCCGCCATCAACATGATCCAGATGCAGGGCGGCGTCTTTGGCTCAGGCACGCGCCTCCGCTGGGCCCGTCAATTACTTGGCTGCTGGTCGAGGCGGCCGCCTGAACTTGTCGCTGTGCCCTCTCCATTATCTTTCACTTGCATGTCACGAAGTGCACCATGGGCTCTGTTGTGCTGCTGTGCAGTGGCAACCTCTGCTGACTTCATCGCCACCATCACCAAGACCCCGCTGCCGTCCGCCCACGTGCCCCTACTCGCCAACGGCACTGGTGCGCGCCCTTGCCCGCCTCGCCCTCGGCCTCAGCAGGACCTTGCATGTCCAGCCCCCTAACACCCTGCACGCTGGTGTTGCGCCTGCCTGCCACCACTCCATTTGCTCCCGCCATGCCTGCCCTACAGGCCCCGTTGCCGAGGTGGCTGCCAGCCCCTACCCCTACCCTCTGCCCGTGGAGCACACGGCGCTGGTGATGATCGACTTCCAGCGTGACTTCATGGAGGCGGGCGGCTTTGGGGAGACACTCGGCAACAACGTGGCGCTGCTGCGGGTGCGCTGCGTGGCAGCTGTTTGGTTGATGCGCGCTGAGAGCATCGTGTGCTGCGGTTCTAACCTGCTGTTGTGTGTCTGTGGCCTGCAGACCTCCCTGGAGCCCGGCGCCCGGCTGCTGGCTGCTGCGCGTCAGGCAGGCATGCTGGTGGTGCACACCCTGGAGGCGCACAAGGCAGACCTCTCAGACCTGCCCCCTGCCAAGCAGCTGCGCGGCAACCTGCCCCCAGAGCTGCGCATTGGCGCGGAGGGAGACATGGGCCGCATCCTCATCCGCGGCGAGCCCGGCAATGGCATTGTGCCAGAGGTTGCTCCCATCGATGTGAGCAAGGGCTAGCCTGCCGCGCCGCTGCCTGTGCACTGCGATCAGAGGCCTCTCTCCTGCTGAGCGGGAGCGGGAGCGGCCTGCTTGCATGCTCGCCTGCTGACGTCGGGCCCTCCTTCTGCTGCTGGCATGCCTGCAGGGCGAGTGGCAGGTGCACAAGCCCGGCAAGGGCGCCTTCTGGGCCACCGGGCTGCACGAGAAGCTGCAGGCTCGCGGCATCACCCACCTGCTGTTTGCGGGGGTCACCACCGAGGTGTGCGTGCAGACGAGCATGCGGGAGGCCAACGACCGCGGCTACGAGTGCCTGCTGGTCACAGACGCCACAGACTCCTACTTCCCCAAGTTCAAGGAAGCCGCCATCGAGATGATCCGCGCCCAGGGCGGCATCGTGGGCTGGACGGCAGACACGGCGGCGGTGGAGGCGGCGCTGGCTGCCGCCTGAGCGGCAGGGTCTGGCCCACCGCCTGGCACTGATGTGTACTTCCTTCTTTTCCCATGGCCCCTGCCCGTCCTTCGTACCCACCTGCTCTTCGACGTTGACCATAATCACCAGTAGCGTTTGCCGCCTGCGGGTGCCGCCGGCCCGTCACAGCCCCACCTTGCCACCCCTCATGCGTCAGTAACTCTGCTATTCCCTCAGCGCACTTGGCCGTACACCCCCGATACCAAGACCTCCTCAGCTTACCTGGTTCTGAACCTGTACAATACGGGCTGCCTCTTCTGCAAGACATGATGGATGGGTGGGGGTGGTGGGGAGGCCGGCGGCAGGGGAGGCGGTGGTGCAAGCGCTGCACAAACAGCACGTCGCCCCTCGGCCCCTGCACTCTATCGGAGAGAATGTGCCTCGCCTAACAATGCGGAGATTGTTTTGTTTACAGCCTGTACAATCGAAACCCTGGTGGCTCTGCGCCCTTGCACCAGCCAGCTGGCCAGCAGGTGGCGGGAGGGGCCGAGAGGTGGAGCAGGCTGAAAGACTTCCAACCCCCACAACCATCATCGTAAATACGGACTGGCGCTTTTACAACACAGTGCAGCCTCCACCTCGCTGCACACAAAAACTCTTCCAGCCCCTGTCCAAGTCATGAGCACCATCCCCGTCTGTGCAGTCCCCGAAGGTGCGGAGGCCTGCGCGATGCGATTGCAATCGCCGCCCTGCCCAGCCTGGGCAGCAGCACAGTGTGCGGCGCTACCGCCCAGGCGCTTGCCGCCTAACCTTGCGCCGCGTGCAGGCGCCGTGGTCGAGGTGGCTGCCAGCCCCTACCCCTACCCTCTGCCCGTGGAGCACACGGCACTGGTGATGATCGACTTCCAGCGCGACTTCATGGAGGCGGGCGGCTTTGGGGAGACGCTGGGCAACAACGTGGCGCTGCTGCGCGCCTCCCTGGAGCCCGGCGCCCGGCTGCTGGCTGCTGCGCGCAAGGCGGGCATGCTGGTGGTGCACACCCTGGAGGCTCACAAGCCCGACCTCTCAGACCTGCCTCGCTCCAAGCAGCTGCGCGGCAACCTGCCCCCAGAGCTGCGCATCGGTGCAGAGGGCGCCATGGGGCGCATCCTCGTGGCTGGCGAGCCAGGCAACGGCATTGTGCCAGAGGTGGCTCCCATCGAGGTAGATCTCTTGGCCCATCAGCCAGTGGTAGTACGTACATCAAAATGGATGTATGTATATCGAAATGTTGTAGCACAGGCATTGCCTGCCACCAATGCCACGCGCTCCCCTCCCTCTGCAGGGCGAGTGGCAGGTGCACAAGCCCGGCAAGGGCGCCTTCTGGGCCACCGGGCTGCACGAGAAGCTGCAGGCTCGCGGCATCACCCACCTGCTGTTTGCGGGGGTCACCACCGAGGTGTGCGTGCAGACGAGCATGCGGGAGGCCAACGACCGCGGCTACGAGTGCCTGCTGGTCACAGACGCCACAGGCAAGCCGAGCGCAGCGTGCCGGCCTCATTCCTGTTGCTCTGCTGCTGTCCTGGCTCCTGGCGCTGTGCATGCGTATGTCCGCATGTGACCTGGGTCCTCCGAGTTGGTTCGCACCCCTTCCCTTCTGTCTCCCCCTCCCTGCAGCCAGCTACTTCCCGGAATTCAAGGAGGCGGCGATCAAGATGATTGAGGCCCAGGGCGGCATCGTGGGCTGGACGGCAGACACGGCGGCGGTGGAGGCGGCGCTAACGGCGATGCCGAATCCCTGAGCAGCAGTATCTCAGCGCACTGCAGCTCTCAGTTTTTGTTGTAAACGTAGTCGCCTGTCTGCCTACTCATGACATTTGCCGCTCTCTGACGGTGGTAACCACCAACACTTACCGCAAGTGTGCCTGCAGACTTGCCTCATTCGTTCTTGCCACCTGTGATGACCTGTACCATTCCACACTTGTATCACTGCACGCTGCAAACTCAGATTTGTAACATTTGGGCAATGACTTAACTCAGGAAGGCCGGCATGTGACTTACCTCAGGAAGGCCGGCATGTGGTGTGGTACCTTGCTGGGCGGCGGCGGCTCGGCGTGGGTTGTAAGCGGGCACTGCTGGGGTCTCATCCGCGGCAGAGCCCCGCCATGCGGTGACGTGTTTTTCTCTCTCTCTTTGTGAGGTCTAAATCAACAAATTGCAGGAGTGCATGCAACCGGACAGGGGGCTCAACTCCCACCTGCCAGTGAGCGGCGGCGGCAGTGCCAGCGGGGGCCCCACCAGACAGCCCACACCAGGTCCGCTCTGCCGCTATTTTGCGTTGTAACCGGGTTCCAATGGCAGCAAAACGAAGTAATTGGGGCACTTAGAGCACTGGTACTGTAGGTGGCCTCTCTGACCTGATGATGGGGCAAGCAGCTCCATGCATGTCCCACTCACTGCCAGCAGCCTCCACCTTCTCCAGTTCGTTTGCACCTCGGGGAGCCTTCCGGGGAGCGCAGGCAGGGCTGCAATCAGCGTGCAGGGAACCTGGCAGGGAACCTGGTGCTTGTGGAGGGCCGCGCCCAGCTGTTGAGCGCGTTGCAGTGCGACAAGCTCATCAGTAGCAGCACTCTGGGGTCCACAGGCGCCCATACAAGCACCGCCGGGGAACCTACTCGGAATGAGCGGGAGCGGGGGCCCAGAGGCCGGCTTCTGGGTGCCAGCGGTGGGAGGATTTGCCTCGCATGCAGCGGGGATGGCCGAGCAGCAGCGCGCCTCCACGGCTGGGCCAGCAAGCTGGCCTCCCGCCAGCGGCCCGCAGTGGGCGGCGGCAGCTCCTAGGGTTGTCGTCACCACAGCCACGCCGCAGCCCTCGGCCGGCCCAGCACCACAGCCGTCAGTCTCGCACCAGGGAGACAACTCTGGCGCCCTGTCCAAGACCATGCGGCGCTGCAGCAAGCCCAAGGCGGCCAGCAAGGCGGCGGCGGCGGCTGGGGCTCCCAGCATACGCAGAGTGCAGCCGCACGTGTCGCGACAGCAGCGGCGCCAGGCCCAGCGCCAGCAGCGCGACGTGGACCAGCAGAAAATCAAGGAGTTGGAACACCAGCTGGGTGCGCTGCGTGTACACCTGCAGGTGAGGGGCAGGCGGGGGCCAGCAGGGGGCTTGGCCCGGGCACAGCACACGGCAGGCCGCCCCGCAGGTCATGGCATTGCCATGGAGCGGAATCCTGGCTGGCAAGGGCAGCCTGCATGGCATGCCCACCGCGCTCACGCTACTCCGTGGCTCCATGCACTGGTTGCTGACCTTTGCTGCTGCCCCACGTTTGCTCCCGCACTCACCCACCCATCTCATCGGCCCACCCACCTCCCGCACCCGCCTGCCTCGCCCGCAGTCCCTCACCATCCAGAACAAACAGCTGAAGCAGCGCCAGTCGGCGCTGAACGCGACGCTGGAGATGCAGCAGCAGATCCGGGCGGCGGCGGCGGCCGCCGAGCGCGCCTCCAACAGCGCCGCCAGCGGCAGCGCCGCGCCCAGCTGGCGCAGCGACGAGGACGCCGAGGAGCTCAGCTTTGCCCTGGAGGGCTCCGACAGCGGCTCAGAGGGCGGCCGGGAGGTGTGCACAGAGGAGGAGGCCACCTTTGACCGGCTGCTGGCAATGGCTCAGGGCACGGGGCCAGGCGGGCGGGCGGGACGCGCGCCCGACCCCGCGGCCCAGGCTCCCCAGGCGCCCTGCGCCGGCTCCGCGCTCAACCTGAGCGGCATTGCGGAGGCCGGGGAGGGCGAGGGCGAGGGCAGCGAGAGCGTCAGCACCGGCAGCCGGCTGAGCCCCAGCAGCTGGTTCTTTGCGGCCACGCTGCGGCAGCACATCCAGTGGTACCAGCAGCAGGTGCGCGCCCCTGCCCCTGGCTGCCCCTGCCTGCTGCACCTGCCTGCCTGGCTGCTGCTGCTGCGCATGGCAGCCTGCGTCGCGGGCACGGCGCAGCCGTGCGCGTCGCAACCCAGCCTCAGCCAGCAGCAGCGCGCTGCCCTGCATCTGCACACTTCTTCGCACCCCATCAACCCCACACCACGGCATCACACACACTCGTTTCGCTGTGGCGCACATGTGCTCACACACACTCACGAACCGCGCCAAACCTTCGGCACCTGCCCGCAGGTGGACCGCCTGCAGCAGCTGCTGGCTGTGCTGGACGCCATCCCGCCGCGGCTGGGGCGCACCCTGGAGGAGTACCAGCAGCACGAGGAGACGCTCGACGCCATCCAGGGCGTGCTGGCAGACATTGTGAGCGGTCTGCATGCCCGGGCCAGCAGCAGGGCGGGCAGACAGCGGGCAGGCAGGATGCATGTTGGGCAGCGCAGCAGCCTCCGAGCGCGCCACATCAGCGTGCTCGTTGCCGCCCCTCCACCCCTCACTTGCATCCACCTGCTCCCTCCTGCCCTCACCCACTCCTCCTCCTCACTCGCCTGCATGCCTCCCTCGCCGCCACGCCTGCAGGACGACTGGACCATCCACATGGCGGCGCTGCGCCCCGACGACTTTGGCATCGTCATCCACAACAACCTGGCCGAGGTGCTGGTGGGCGGGCCCGGCGCCACCGCGCTGCCGCCCTCCGTGTTTGTGGCAGAGGACTGGGAGCCCGAGACCATCATCTGGCAGGAACTGGTGGTGAGTTGCCCCGCTGCCGCTGCCGCTGCCGCTGCTGCTGCCGCTGCTTCTGCGCTGGCTGTCGCTGCTGCTGTCGCTGCTGCCGCTGCTTCTGCGCTGGCTGTCGCTGCTGCTGCGCTGGCTGCTCCTGCTGCTGCTGCCTCGCTGCGGTCTTCTTTCGTCGCTGCGCCTGCGGCTGGGGCTCTGCAGAGCGGAGTAGGAAGCAGCACCGCCTGGTGCCTTGTTTGCTCGCTCCATCTGCTTTCCGTCGTCCCCTCGACCGGGGCCTGCTCGCCGTGCTGCCTGTCCCATTCCCTCACCTTCCTTCCCCTCCTGGGGCCCCACCTCCCGCGCCTGCAGGAGAAGCTGGCGCTGTCGCCGCAGCAGGAGCAGACGCTGGAGGCGCACCAGGCGCTCTTTGAGCAGCGCGCCCAGACGCTGGCTGGCAGCAAGGCAGCCGTGCTGGCTGCCCTGTCGGAGGCGGCCGCCAGGCAGGATGACACCACACTGCTAGAGGTAGGCGCCTGGGTGGTGCCAGCCCTGCAGCTGTCCCCCTGCGCTGCGCTCTGCACCGCTCGCAGGCACACCTGCTGCGGCTGCCATTGCTCGCGTGTGCTCACCTGGCGTCGCGGCGCGGCCCGCCGCCCCGCTCTTGTTTGTGTGCAGGGCGCCGAGGCGCTCAAGGCGTCGCTGCAGCAAGACTTCTCGCTGAAGGCTCCTGTGATGATCTCTCTGCGCAAGGTGAGCGCGACAGCGTTGCCCCCACCCTTCTGCACACCCAGCTATGGCCCCCACCCGCTGTGAAGCCAGCCCGGGTCCCCACCGTACCACACACCCTGTGTGTTTGTGCGGGGTGAAATCCGACACATGTTGCGGTGTAGAGAGTGATGCCGCCATGCATGGCGTGTCGTGTGACACACCAGCCCTGCCTCGCGCTCTTTGCCGGCGTGCTTGCTGGTTTCTTGACCTGTGCTTCCTGCCCTGGCCGCCTTGCAGGTTCTCATGCCGATGCAGATGGCGAGGTTGACGGTGGACTGCTGGCCCTACTACACCACCATGAAGAACCTGAGCAGAGCCCACAAGCAGCGCAAGCAGGCCGGGCGGCGCTGAGAGAACGCCCCTCTGCAGCAGCGCGCCTGCTGCAGTGTAAACTAGACGGCCGCCGCTGTGCTGGAGGCGGCCACCTCTGTTGTGTTGCGTGCTGCCGCGCCCCACCTTTGCACCGGTTCGTCCTTGTATCTGCTTTCAGTTTTTTACTTACAGTGGTGAATACAAGTGGTTCCCTTCTGGAGAAATGCCCTGTTGTACAGAGGGAAGAGTGCTGCCCAAGTGCAGTACTACAATTTAAGTTCTAAGCCACGAGGCAAATGCTACAGAGGGCCATGGGGGAGGCGCCGAGCGCAGGCGGTTTTCTGTGTGTGCATAAAAGGACTGAGGGGGGCTGAGGGGGCAGCAGAGTTGGTAGTTGAATGAGTGAAGAAAAGCTGACGAGCATGGTTGGTGCAGGAAAAAGAAGGGGGGGGCAGCGGCGTGTGTGCGCGCATGCGTGCCAGGGTGTGGGGGAAAGGCGCTAGGTGAGCAGACGGTTGAAAAGGGGCAAGCAAAGGGGGTGTACCATCAACAGGCTTGAGTTTCAGGGGAGTGCAGTTAGGGCATGCGGTGCGGGCATGCGTCGGCTGCCCCCCCGGTTGGGAACGGCGTGGCTCTGTGGCTTTGCCGGCAACTGGCAGAGCAACAGAGCCAGGCCAGCCGGCGGCGCGCGGCGGCGCAACTGCCGACATGGGGGCGTCTGGTGGGGGCTCTCACTGCTCCAGGATGGAGCCGAGGGCGGGCGGGGGACGCTCAGACGGCGCGAAACGCCTCGGTGCCGTTGTGGGCGCTGTCGCCGGCCTTGGCGCTGCCCTTCTCTAGCTCGGACATGCTGGGGGGGGAGCCCTCATCCGACACGTCCACCACATCTGGCACCTCGATGTACTTGGAGCCCATGGCCTTTTTGAGGGCAGCATCGTAGCTGATCTGGTCGCCTGCAGGCAGGCGGGAGGCACGGCAAGGCGCATCGCTCGCTCAGGGGAGGAGGGCGCAGGCGGAGAGGGAGGAGAAGCAGGGCAGGAGCCAAGGCAGCTGCTGACTGCACTGCTGCGGCGGTAGTGGGGCTGACAACATCGGCCCTGTGCGGGCGGCAGCCTCGGGGAGGGCGGGCTTGCCTGTGGGGGCCTCGCCGGGGAAGGCGCAGTTCCAGCCGGGCAGTGGCATGAAGAGGGAGAAGGTGGCGGACCACTTCTGATAGATGCCCACGCCGGGCCACTTGCGCTGGTCCAGGCCAGGGACATCATAATCCAGCAGCTGGTAGGTAAAGAACTTGCAGACCATGTAGGAGCCGATGCCGGCAATGATGCCGTAGGCAATCTGCGGCAGAAGGGGAGGGCGGCTGGGTGAGGGGTGGCACCAGGGTACCAGGGCTGTGGCAGTTGGGGATAGCAGTTGTTGCGCCGCTCACGTTGGAGGTGAAGGGCATAATGGTGGTGGTGACCAGGACCGGTACCGCCTCACTGTAGTCCTCCCAGTTGATGTCAATCACGGCAGAGGCAAAGATGATGATGCCCACCAGCACCAAAACGGGGGAGGTGGCAATCTGCGACGGCGGCAGCACGTGCATGCATTTTGTCAGCAGGCTCCCTTGCCGGGCTGCTCCTGGGACCCTTGCTGGGCTGCTCCTGGGAACGTGGCTGCTGAAGTGGGCTTGTCCCGGCTGCGCGTGCACTGCATGGCCAACAGGGTAGGCTGGGCAGCCAGGTGCGGCGGCAAAGCAGCAGCGGGGCTCACCGAAGGGATCTGGCCAAACAGCGGCGAGAGGAAGGAGGACGCAAAGAAGAGGATGGCGGCGACAAGGGCGGCAAAGCCTTCGAGCAGCAAGAGCAGGGCGCCATGGATGGGCCGGGGCAGGCGGGAGAGACCGGGGATGCCAGCACGGATGCATGCAGCACGGTGAGAATGGAACACCCGTTGCTACAGCAAGGGCAGCGCGCCTCACCTGTCCTGCCTCCCTCCTTCATGCCGGCAGACGACTCGACGTAGGTAGTGAGGGCTGCACACGCCAGGCACAACAAGCATACAGGACGTTCCGAAAGCGGGCATGCAGACTTGGGCTGCGTGGTTTGAGCAGCACGGGCGTGACATGTGCAGGCTCCTAGGGGCGCCACAGCAGACCCCGGCTGCGAGGGCTCACCAGAGCTGCCCAGCAGGCCTCCCATCATGCTAGCAAAGGCATCGGCCATGAAGGCGATGTTGCTGCGGGGGATGTCTCCATCCTTGCTCATAGCCTATTATAGCCTATTATAGCCTATTATAGCCAACAGTAGCCCACCCGTCCGCTCACAGAGAGCCATCGCGCCGGCCTCGCGCCGATCACCCCCACACCCCCACCCTCCACACTCACCCACCCACCCATCAGCATGTCAAGCAGCGAGGGAGCCAGCCTTGGGCAGCGCAGCCAGCAGCCGATCAGCAACCCGGCCTCCCGGGCATCCCTGCGGCCCGATTTCCCCCATATCGTGGTCAAGGGGCTCGCTCTGGAGGCCGGTGGGGGCCTGGGGGCCGCAGTCGCAGCCTTCGTTTTGTTTTGCCGGGCCAGCCTTCACCTGCCAGTGCCTGACTGTGTGCCTGTGACCTGCGTTGAGATTCGGGTGCGTGGGGACGGGCGCAGCGAATGCCACCTGCGACTGACTCCTGCCCTGTGCGGCGCCCTGATGGGTGCCCGCCGCCGCCTTTCGTGGGCAGCACCAGAGGTCAGCATTGACCTCTGGCGCTCACCTGGGGAGCTACAATACCCTC